TTTTTTCTGTATCTATGAAGCGCCTTGAGGCGACTTTTGTTGTGATTTGGCGCTATATAAATAAAATTGAATTGAATTGAATTGAATTGAAATCATCTCTCTCCATCCCTTCCTCTTCCTCCTTCAGCAGTTTGATTTCATTCTTACGTCGCAGGAGTTTATTTGTTCAGCGTGAGTCTGTCCACGTTAGGTCCACTTGAAACGAAGTTTCACTAACAGCCCGTGAATAGTGGTGAACAGGAGCTAACAGCAGCTAACAGAGACAAAAACAGCAGTACTCATCTCAGTATCACTGACGTTGACTCGCTGACAGTGTAAGGGATAATATTCAGGCCGAGTCAATATCAAAATGTAATAAAAATCAGGTAAATACCAACATTTTGTAGGGCTTCAGCTCTCGTCCGGTATAATGTGAGAGATTGTTGATAAAATGATGATATAAATCACATGAATGTCAGGGCTACACTTCACAGCATCAGTAAACAAGTAAAGGGAAAGTGTTTTACTTCCTCTGATAGAGAATATTGTTTGTTTACTCGTAGTTGCCATAGTTAACTGCATCTTCATAATGTTTAGTGGATTTTTCACTATGTGTTGGGATTATTAACAACAACAACGAATGTTGAATATGAAGCTGCCAGGCAGGAAAAGAGGAAAACCAAAGAAAAGATTCATAGACGTAGCGAAGGACATGCAGAGGATTAGTGTGAAAGCAGAGGAGGCTACTGATAGGAAGAGACTCTCAGTGGTGACTTCTGATGGGAGCAAGAAGAAGACGACCAAAGAAAAGATTGCAAATTTGTTTCAAACTGTATTTTATGTCTGAATTGAATTGAATTGAATTGAATTGAATTGAATTGAATTGAATTGAATTGAATTGAATCCACTGCTCCATCCAGAACCAAAAGGGCACATTTGATAAATGGGGGGGAGAGAGTTTCGTTTATTTTCTCTCTTTTTATTTTTCTGTTTTTGTTTCTTTTTTCTCGTTGCTTGTTTGGTAAATAATAAGAGAGGAAAAAAATGTTCCAACATGAAAAGTTCTGTGTTGTATTCATTGTAAACAGTTTGTGTTTTCCGTCTTCTTTGTTTTCTTTGTAAACTATATCCACAAATACTCAATAAAAATATTTTGAATTTAAAAAAGAGCGTTGGAGCATTTTAGCGCTTAAAGCTGCAGCTTCTGACCACTTGGGGGCGCCATAAACAGCTGCGAGCTGTGTCCGTCCAGCTTTTTGTCTCCATCAGGAAGCCAAAGCAGCAAGGTCGTGAATGCAGATAAACGCTGCTGTAAGGGCACATCTTGCATCTTACTGCAGTCTAGCTGATAACTCTGCTGCTCAATGATCAGACACACTCGTGTAACACTGTCCCTTTCTCATATGAGGAGTGACACCCTCCTGGCTCATGCGCTAATTCACCCAGTAACTGAGAGAAGTTATCTAAGATCCCAGAGAGAAGGGAATTAAATTCATTTTAAGTTAATTCGATTTGTTTCGTGTCATTTCATTACTGAAATCCCAAAGATATACGTAAAATAGTCCCAAATCTGTTAAAAGAATCTAATCTCTGATCTTTATCATAAAATGTTTAAAGGTACTTTTTGTAACGACCCATGTGCAGAAAGATAAAATTGTAAACTTGATGTTCATAGAACTTTATCAACTGGATCTAAATCAGTAGCTCGTCCCACTTCTTCACTTTATTTGTTATTTCTTTGTCAACTAAGGAGACAACGCAGCGAGCG